TGGAAGGATCACCTCAGCCCAGGAGGTCGAGGCCATGGTGAACTGGGATTATGCCACTACACTCCAACCTGGGTGACAGTGAGATTCTGACTCAAAAAAAAAAAGGATATTGGGATGGGGCACCATGGAAGGGATTTGAGCAGGAGAGTGGCACGATCAGTTCTGAGTATTAGGTCGAGCCTTCCAGCTATCTCAGGGTGGGGAGATGGCTAGGGACGGGGAATAATAAGCAAGTAAGGAGATCCGTGAGGAAGCTCCTATCTAAGAGTAGATGAGGTGTGGTGGTTCTGGGAAAGAAGAGGCCGGGACAGGATTAGTGCCTGGTGCGGGGAGGAGAGAGGAGAGTGGGGAGGAAATGGCCCCATTTTCTGGCTCTGGGCACTGAGTGGTGCTTTTCAGGTGATGGGAAGCCCTTAGGGATGAGCGGGAGCCAGGACTGCTTTTGGGGACTTGGTGAATGGGAGGAGACTGGGAGAATGTGGGGCGTTCCTCCAGCACAGGGGTAAAGTTCCTTTCCACCTCCCTCCCACCCTCCTTATCCCCCTCTACAGACACAGGCTCCCAGGCCCAGACTGGAAAGAAACTCTTGGCTGCGTCTCTGGGTTCATGGTGACTGTGATCTCCTTGAGAGCAGGTCCCTTTGAGGCCTGGGCCACAGTTCCAGGCTCTTTAAAGAGGCTCCCTAGCCCTGAAGATGACCCACTCTCCCAATCCCACTGCCATCTAGGGCACCGGGGCTCCAGTGGACAGGATGCCCCTTCTGCCACTGCTGGGAGCCCAGAAAGGTCTGGAGTCAGGCTGACCATGGTCTGCATCTCAGGCCTGCTACTTTCTTGTTGTGTGACCATGGGCAAGTCACTTAGCTTCTCTTAGCTTTAAGATCCCCATCTTTTAGTGGAACTGATGAAAACTCCTGATCTCCAGCTTAACACATTGTTTATCCCCCACCACCACTGTACACACACACACACACACACACACACACACACACACACGCACGCACACACACGCACACACACACAGAAGGCCTGTGGAACTGCTGTGTAGGTGCTGCTGAGTTCCCCAGGTTTGCTAGCATCATTCATGATGCCAGGTATTCACTTTGTCATTGGACCTGGCCTCATCAAGTCCTAGTATCTCTGGCCACTACAGACCCCAAAGCTCTAGTGTCCCTGCTTCCAGACTGGTTGATTTTGGCCCTATCCCTCTTTCCTACCTGTCCAAGCCTGGTGGGGGATATCCCCCCAAAAATCAGATCCTGGGTGAGAGCCATTGCCTCAGGGCCCACGGACAACTCCCTAGAACTGGGCTGAGGCAGGAGCTGCAGTTTGTTGAGGGGCTGGGCTGAAGGCCCCAGGTTGGGTCCACCTCTGGCTGCAATGGTGGGAAGCTCAGAGGCTGTGCAGAGCAGCTGAAGACACTTCTCCAATTTTGGGAGCCTCTTGCAGCAGAGTGCACAGAAAGAGGGCTGTCCAGGCAGGAAACTGGCCCGGCTCCATGCCCCTTCCTCCACAAAGTCCTTTCTGCCCTTCTCTGGGTGAAAGAGACCCAGCCCAGGGGTGCTCTTTCCTCGCTGTCCCTCCCCCACTCTCAACTGTCCCTCAGTTCCTTATCCATAAAGTAAGATGATAAAGCCTCTTTCCAAGGGTTGCCAGGAGGATTTACAGAAATAGTGACCATGGAGTCACCTGGTATATTCAGGGCATGCTGCAAAGTTTAGAAATAAACACACGTGCACAGTGACCATCTCTGAGCTCACAGGCCAGCTTGGCCCCTCCTGCAGCTCGGCACCTAGACACCAAAACAAGTCCTCAGGTCACCTCAGAGCAGGTGAGGGCCAAGCTGGGAAGACTCTGGAGACCAGACCAGCTCTGCCCTGTCCTCTCTGTGTGGCCTCTGCTTCTCAGCTATGAAATAGAGTTACCTTCCTCACTGGATGATTGAGGAGATTAAGCTGGATGTGTTTGAAGTGCTCTGCACAGCACTGACATGTGAAAAGTTCTCAGAGCTGTCACTGTGATGAAACTAATGATGGCAATGATGCTGATGGTGACAGTGGTGGGGACGGTGCTGGTGACGGACGAGCACTGGGCTGGGGAGGGGTATTCTTCTCTGGCTCCCCCATTGTCTATTCAAACCCTTCCTTCCCTCGCAGGGAGAGGACACCTCCCCAGGGCAGGCGAGTGGGGAGCCTTGGTGTGGCCCTCCCTCACATGCGCCCTTTGTGGTCCTGTCCCTTTGCTGCAGCCTTGAGCCTCCAAAGCAGTGGAGAGCACAGCTGCCCTGGAGCACTTCCTGTAGCTTCTTTCAACCTGAAGCTCCCGTGCAAAATGCTGTACTGCCTGGCTCCCCTATCACACGCCTCTGTCTGGGCAGTGTCCCCTGCTAGGAACTCCCTGCTTCTTCCTTTATGAGGGTCTCAGATCGGAGCCCTCATCAGGTATCCTCCAACCTCACTCCCACCCCTTTGGTTCCTCTCTGCAGCACATCTGAGCCCCACCGGGGGGGCGGGGGGGAGGAAACCCAGCCACACAGGCCCATGCAGGTTGACTGAGGAGGACTTGGGCAGGCATGGGCCTCTACCCCAGCTGTAGCCCTGTGACAAGGATCAGCCTTCAGCTTGTGGCAAGGGTCAGGGATCACTCTGTGGCAAGGATCCATGCTGAGTCAAGGATAAGAGTTTTTATTGCACCTGGGGAAATCTGGGGGCACCTGGGAGCAGGTTCAGACCATGACAAAGGGTAAGGCTGAACCCAGGATTGTCTGCTCTGAGTCTGTCCTCGGTGCAGGATGGTCCCCTGGCAGCCCTGAAGGGGCTGCTCCCTGCCATAGGTATCCCCATGGTGCCTGGGTGTCTGGGTTGTGGCAGCTGAAGCCTGCAGCACCAGAGGTTGGTGAGAGTAGAGCTGAGTTCTCTGCCCTGTGCCAAGCACAGAGACAGCCAGGTCCCCATGGCCCACTCCGGGGACCAGCCCCGCTCCTGCCTCAGCCTCTCTCCTCCCTGCCCCTGCCCTCCACCCAGGCCACAACGTGAGCCGCAACTGCACGGATGAAGGCTGGACACACCTGGAGCCTGGCCCCTACCCCATGGCCTGTGGCTTGGATGACAAGGCATCAAGTTTGGATGAGGTGGGCCTCAGTGCACCTCCACCCCGCCTTCGGAGCACCTGGGCCTACCAAGGCTCCTTTCACCTCTCTCACCAAGGGGTGGGGTTGCCATGTGGGAGCCAGAATTCCTGGGGTCTGTCTGCTCCCCTCAAGCCTCCTCCAGGCCTGTCTTTCTGGGGGTTCATCTCCTGCCTCCCCCGGACAGGGTGTGGAGGAGGCTTTCATGAAGATGATACACAGGAGGGGGTCCCCAAAGCAGCACCCCCAGGCTGGGCCACCCCACTGCCTCATGGGAATCTCAATCCTACCCTGAAGTGGCAGGGCAGGCAGACACCATCACCCCATCACATCCAATGGGGAAACAGAGGTGCAGATCCTGAAAGGAACCAGCTTCAGATACCCAGTAGCCAGTCAGGAACAGAGACAGGAAAGGGGCCTGTTGTCCCCAGCCCTAGGACAGGGATCTGCCCCGGAACAGGTAAATAATAGGTGGTCTCTATAAGCATTTGGGCAGCTAGGTGAGGATATTGATGAGGGGCTGGAGTCTAACTGGAGCCCCCAGCTAGAAGCTCCTCACTGCTTAGGAGTGCAAACACATGTGTATGTGGATCTGTCTGTCTGTGATGACATCTGTCCCATCCTCAGGCACCCTTCTCAGGCAGGGCTTTAACTTCCCCAAAGAGAGCAGCAATTTCCTCAGAGGCTTTGAAGCCTGTCAGCACCTCAGGCCCTAATTCCCCTAAATCCCTCTTAACCACTTGCCTCTACTCAGGCAGGGTGTGGGAGATGGAGAGGAAGGAAGGGCCTGCCCAGTGACTGTCACTCTGCACCTGTGTCCATGGAGAGGGCCAAGAAAGAAGCCCTCAGAGCCCAGCTTTGTCCCACCTCCCCCAAGAAAGCCAGGCTGCCCTCACCCTGCTGATCCCAGCCCCTGAGAGCCTGCAATGGGACATTAGCCATGGTGTCTTCTTTACCATTCTGCATTCACTGTGTGCCTCCCCTTGTCACACAGAGAGAGGGCCTCATGTGGGAGTCTGAAGGGCAAGCAATCTCGGCCCCTAGGGCTGTGCCCAGAAGGGTGCCAGACACATATCTGAAGAAAGAACGAATGGGATATTTAAGGTCTTCTCTCTCCCTCACTGACTTTTCCCTCATGGAGAAGCAAAGAGAGGGAGGGAATCAGCCCCCATCCCCTCCCTGAGATGCACTCCTGCCCTGTTTATGAAAATTGGGGTGTGGGTGCTTTCAGTGGGGTTGAAAGACAACATTCAGCAGCTCTTGGGAGCCCCAGGCCTTGGCGTCCTCATCGGCCAAGGCAGGGATAGGTAGGCAGGGTGTATAGGGCACCCTGACCCTGCCAATATCCTTTAGATGAGCCACCCACACCCCCAAGATTCTCAACCCCCTTTCTCTAGCAGCAGCAGACAATGTTCTACAGTTCTGTGAAGACAGGCTACACCATTGGCTACAGCCTGTCCCTCGCCACCCTTCTGGTCGCCACGACAATCCTGAGCCTCTTCAGGTGAGACCCAGCCCAAGTAACAGGCAACAAAGCAGACCTGGCAAGTGTCACTCCCACAGTCAAACCCAGCCTGGCCCAGGCATGCCCTGACCCCTCCACTGTCACCCCTATCCCCAGCAGCACATGGTCCCCACCTCCTGCCAGACCAGCCTTCCCTGGAGATGGCAGGTGGCCAAGGGCCAATTCCATCTGTTGCAGCCCAGACTCCCACAGAATGCTCCTGCACCTAGGTTTAGGGTCCCAGAGGGTTGGTTTGCACCCTGAAATGAGGCTTCTAGGGCAGAGTCACACTCTAGGCTAAGGCACTTGGAGGCCCCACTGCATAAGAGAATGGAGTATCTGGGGGCGGAGTCTGTGGTTCAAGATAGGACCCGGCTTCAAGGAGGAGCCTAGACTCTGAAAGCCACATGCTCCCCTCTCCCCTTGCTCAGAGCACAGGACAGCGTTGGCTGGGGTGGGGGTACAAGGCCCCTTCGGCCTCCCAGATCTGCCCGCCCCACACAGGAAGCTCCACTGCACGCGGAACTACATCCACATGCACCTCTTCATATCCTTCATCCTGAGGGCTGCCGCTGTCTTCATCAAAGACTTGGCCCTCTTTGACAGCAGGGAGTTGGACCACTGCTCCGAGGGCTCGGTGAGGACCCCACCTGGGCCTGCTTCCCCAAGTCTTGCCTTCATCTTTAATCCCCTGAATCTCTTCTTCACCCCCTGCTTCTCCCTCTCCCGTCTCCCGCTTTCCCCTCCTTCTCTCTCACTTTCTCCTCTTTCAATCCAAAGATGGCCAAACCCCCACCCAATGCCGCCTGGCAGCTCCTCAAACCCCATTCCCCTCCCAGCAACAGATGTTGCTCAGCCATCTGGGAGCTTACAGACCTAACCCTACCCATGAAAATGTAGATGGGAAATGGGACCTTTATGGCCACAGCCCAGAGCCCTTGTCCCACCTCTTTTGCTAACTTCCTATGTGACCTTGGGAAACTTCTTGCCTCGGTTTCCCCATCTGTGCAGTGACTTCCAAGTTTCCTTTCAACTCTGCCCTCTGCATAGCTGTGCACACCATGCCACCCTTCCTAGTCCCTACCTTCTCCTTGCCAGCTGGAGCAGGTCTAAACTCATGCCACCCTCCTCTTCTGTTCTGCTCCTGTTATCAAGGCAGTTCTGGGCCTTCCTAGGAAAGAGGATTAAGGGACCATCTAAGGAATCCATCACCAGTCACTAGGGGGTCTGAGCTAGGGACCCTTACTGGGCGCCCTTGAGCGCCCACCCAATTTCTGTGGTCAGTGATTCATTGCTTTACGGGTGACCCTAGAGGCAGTGCATTATATCAGGGGTCAGCAGTATCTTATTCCCAAAAACTGAACCCATAATAGGGGAATCTTGGACATCTCAACAAAGAGGAGAGAAAAGCCAGGGGACTCGCCTTGGCCATTCCCAGAGCTCCTCAAGGGAGAGCAGCCCACAGCCTGTGGCGCACTTGTTAAGGATAACCATGGAGACTGGCTTCCGATTCCATGGCAGATCTGTGACACTTTTCTAAGGCAAGGAGAAAGTACAGATAACTGTCCTGTCAAAGAGAGGAGAGAGGGGCACACACCTGTAGCTGTAGGGACTTAAGTGGCACTTGAGGAAGGACTTTTTAACCATGATCAGGATGAGGGGAGAGGAATCTTCTCTCTGAGGATGTCTCAAAGCCAAGGGTCCAGGAAGGAAGGGTAGGAACCGGTGTTTTGGGTACAGGGAGAAGTGGAAGCTAGAAGGCTTCCTGGAGGAGGGCGACCTTAAGCCCTGGCTTACAGGCATCTAGGCTTGATCTGAAATGGGAGTCAGTTTCTGGGAGGGGACAGAGGACCCAGAAGACCTTCCAATCATGCCAGATGAGCCACCCAAAGTCCTGTAATTGCCCCTTTGAGGGATCTCTCTGCCTCTTCCCTTGTCCTTGTCTGCCTGAGGAATCCATTCTTCCATTCGCTCCTCTGACCCCCAGGAGGAACAGCCACCCCTCACCTTTTCTTCATTTCTGATTCCCCCTCCTCTACTCTCTTCTCAATCCCAGTCTCTCCTCACTTCCATGGGGGCCCCACTCCATAGTCCACAGCCCAGACACTTACCAGACTTTTGCAAACTCAAGCAAGAATCCTCTTTCCTACTTTTTCCAACTACTTTCAGTCCTAATTGGAGTAAGGTGAATGAGTAGGTGGGGCAGGGGGGTAAGTGGATGGGCAGGTTGGTGGATGGTGGAGTAAACAGATGTGTGGATGGCTAAGTAGACAGGAAGATAGATGGATACAGTAAGGAAGATTGTACAGACAGTGGGCAGTGGGGTAGGTGGGTAGATAGATGGATGGTTGTACGAGTGGATTGATGGGTGCATAGATGATGGATGTGCAGTTTGGTAGATGCATGGAGACATTGGTGAATGGGGGGATGGATGATAGATGGGAAGATGAGTATAAGGATGGATAAAGGCATTGGCTGAAATGGATAAATGGATGAGTTGGTAGTGGATGTCTAGTGGGTGGGAGGACAAATAAATGGATAAATAGGCGAGTGGAAGAGAAGATGGGTGGGTAGATATACAGATGGGAAGATGAACAGAGGATGGATTGAGGGATGGATAATTAAAATCACTATCTTATTCTAAAGCATCAGATGATCTAAAATCAGGGATAATGGAAAAACCAATGAATCATTTTTAAGGGGATACAGCAAAATAACAGAGTTTAAGTTGGCTGTACTGCAACTGCTTGTCCCCCCAGAGAGGGGTGTGGGCAGTCAAGAATTCCTGGCAGATCCATGAGCCCCTCTTTGCTCCTCCACTTACAGGTGGGCTGTAAGGCAGCTGTGGTCTTGTTCCAGTACTGTGTCATGGCCAACTTCTTCTGGCTGCTGGTTGAGGGCCTCTACCTGTACACCCTACTGGCCGTCTCCTTCTTCTCCGAGCGGAAGTACTTCTGGGGGTACATACTCATCGGCTGGGGTATGGTACCAGGGAGGGCTGCCAGGCTGGGCATAAAGGGGGCAAGCCCTGAAGAGCTCACTAGGGGGAGGGTATCAACCCAGCCTGCAGTCCTAGGTCTTGCTAAGCTGCCAGTCCTGCCTGCAAGGGGTGAAAAAAGTCCTGTAAACATCAGAGCCTAGAGCAGATACCCTCAGGTTACAGCTGCAACCAGGGCTGATCTGTGGGACAGATTCTGTAAACATCCTTTCATTTCCCCTTCAGCCTCTGAAACACACGGGGCTACTGCTAATCTTTATGATGCCTCTCTCACAATTAGAAAAAGACTATACCTCTAGGTGGACACAGCCCCTCAGGCATGCAGCTTTGCTCCCTCAGTGAACATTTTTGCACAATGAACAACCTGTGCAACTATAGACGGCAGCCCTGAAAGTCACCCCTTTCTCTCTCCCTCACTCTCTCTGGTTCTTTCTCCTAAATCTCTCCCTCATGCCCTCTGCCCCTGCCTTCTGTCCCCTCTCTTCTCTTGCTCTCCCCTTACAGGGGTACCCAGCACATTCACCACAGTGTGGACCATCGTCAGGATCCATTTTGAGGATTTTGGGTGAGCCATCGCCCCACCTCCTCCCCCAGCTGCCATCACTTGGGACAGATTCCCTGGGTGGGAGGATGATGCCACTTAGCCTTGGCAAGTGGACAAACTATAGCACTTGATCCAAAGGGGGAGGTTGGAGGCAGTCCTGGAGAGAAGACTCTGGGTCTGTGGTTCCTAAAGGATTCAGAGACAGAACTCAGAACAACTCTGGGGGGTAGGGGGGGCTGCTGTCTGTCTGTCTGTCTGTCTCTCTCTCTCTCTCTCTCTCTCTGGCTGAATGCAATTCTCTCATTGCTCAGATGCTGGGACACCATCGACTCTCCCTTGTGGTGGATTATAAAGGCCCCCATCCTCACCTCTATCTTGGTAAGACCTCCTCCTGCCACTTAAAACTGGGTAAACTGAGGCCTGGATTGGGCAGGCAACTTACCTCAGGTCACACAGCAAATTAGTGCCTGAGTCAGATCTGAAATGTAGGCTTCCCAGTGCCCAGGACCATCCCCATCCCTATCCCACCCGTTCTTTCTCCAGAGTGAATGGAATGGGAGAATGGGAAGTAGGGTTCCTGGATGACCTGCCCAAAGGGCAAGAGCTAGGGGAGAGGTAAGACAGAGGGGCAGCAAGACCCTGGGTAAGAAGACAGGCCAACAGCTCAGGGGGCTGGATGCCCCAGCCTCCCCTCTCTGACCACCCAACCTCGGACCCCAACCTAATAGGTGAACTTCGTCCTGTTTATTTGCATCATCCGAATCCTGGTTCAGAAACTGCGGCCCCCAGATATCAGGAAGAGTGACAGCAGTCCATATTCGTAAGTGTGGGCCCAGTGGTCTGGACCCCCCGCCAAGTACCTCCATCTCAGTCCTCAAATCACCCCACATCTTCTTTGCTTCCCCCCTACCCCAAATATCCAGAGTCAACAAAAGCCACATTGCTCTTGCCCACTTCCACTATGGCCTGGCTCAGCCCACCAGTGTTCCCTGCCCCTGCCATGCCCTCACCAGGTTGCCCTCTGAGCCCCATGTCTGCTAGAATATTGCCCAGATATGCACCTGCTCCCAAATTTGTGCCTGGTACAGAAAAGGGGCGCAATAAATGCACAGTGGCTGAATGCCCTGAGGGGCTTCCAGTCTACCAATGAGATAGCCATGTTCAGGACTAGTATCCCCCAATAATAATGATGACATCTGCGGTTTACATGCCAGGCACAGCTTAGCGGTTTCCATGTATCATCTCATTTCATCCACACAGGCCCCTGTAAAACTGTCCTTTTACAGAGAGGAAACTGACACACACTCCCTTCTCCGCAAGAGTTTGGGAGCACATTGCCATGGGCAGGAAGAAGGGGGCACAGTGTCCATGGTACAGTGCTTGGAAAGGTTTGAGGACTGTTCCCTGTGCTTGGGAGGATGGGAGAAAGGACAGATTTTCATGGAGCAATAAGGCTCAAAGACAGAGCTAAAGAAACGTGACAATGTGAAAAGGGAGACCGTGGGAAGGCGAGCAGGGTCTGTATGCCCACAGATGGGAAGAGAAGACTGAATGTTCATGCTATTCAAACAAGACAGACCTGGGATGTCCCTCAGGAGCCTTCCAGCCCTGGGATTCTAGAATGTTCTTGTTGGCCTAGCTTATCTTTGGGGAGTCTGTGCTGTAGTTCCAGAAGGTCACGAGCTGCTGGATTTAGGATTCTATTCTGGAAGGCTGTGATTCTCTCTGATGAGACTAAGACTCACATTCCTGGTGTGACAGCATTCTCTCCTGCTCGGTGTGTAGGCGACACTTCCCTTCCTGTTTGAGAAGGAAAGTCCTTGTGGGGGGTCTATAGTCTGCCCAGATGCTGCACCTTGAGCCTGTGCACCCTCACCCTCTTCTTTGCTAATGGGACCTTATTTCCCTCAAGGAACAATGACTTGAAAGTACTTGGACTGAGGCAAGACAGCTGGCCAGGGTCAGAGCCAGGTCCCTGTGGGTGAGCTGGAAAGGAAACAGCTGTCAGCGGGCAGAAGGGGTGGGGGGAGTTGGAGATGGAGCTAATCAAGGAGAGGCTGTCAGCTCCCACTCTCCACCTCCCCATAAACCTTCAATTTAAAGAAAGCTTCCATCTGTTAGCCTCGGGCGCGTGGGATAAGTTTGCAGCCAAGGAAGGGTGGGCACTGCTCAGGATCTTAGTATGGCTGGAAACCAGGCCCAGGAAGGAGTGGGAGGGGCAAAGCCACCTCCTCTACCCCCAGCTTGCTGTGGAATCTCGGGTCCTGGGCTAGACCTCCCTGGAATGACAGCCAAGGCAGGAGAAATAGAGGCAGAGATGAACCCAAACTGCCCCTTCCCCAGACCTCTCCCAGTCAGGGCACCATGGATTCACACTGCCTGGACCAGTTATGAGGTTGGGTGACTTGAAAGGCCTGAACCAAGATGAACCCTGTGCCGTGGGAGAAGGGCAAACATTTTGAGTGAAGGCTGATTCTACTGAGCACACAAGGCCAGTGAAGGAGGAGCAGGTCCTTCAGAGCATGCCTGGAGTGTGTGCTTTGGTGTGGGGTAGGGGGAGACGGATGCAATCCCAGAGGAGATGGCAGTCCCTGGAGAAGTTAATACAGCAGAAAAACCCAAGACAAAGGGCTGTTCTGACTGACCCTGGGTGGTCCCTGGTGATCAGGCACAAGCTTGGGAACCCATCGCACTTCCAAGTGGCCTTGGGCATATGTGGTCAGCACTCCAGCTAGAAATACTTTCTTCCAAGATGTCCTCATTCCCAGTAGGGAATGCATTGCGCTTTATGACACCCAGACCACTTCCAAGTTTACAGGAGGCTCCTACTTCTATACTTTGACTGTGTTGAGCATACACTTATCTAATTACACAGATTGGGAAAACAGACCATGAGGGGGAACCAGGATCTCTTGTCCCCTGAGAACATCTCCCTATTAGCCGAAATACGCTAGAACAGCCTATCCTCACTGGCCTCTCCTTTAGCCCCTCTCCCACAGAAGGGTGAGAGTACGGGGGTTCCTTTCTCTTTTCTGCTTCCCACTGGGCCAGGATGGCCCAGGGCTTGAGGACAGAGGCACTGCAGATATGGAAGAGGGACAGACATGGGCATAATCTTCAGGGAAGCTAACAATTCATTCTCATACATCCTGGTCATTGTCCCCATCTTCTGTGCCCCCAGCTACCCCCATGCCAGGCACTATCATATCCACCCATGTGGACACACACAGCTACAGTCTGTCCCTCCCCTGTCTCCAGGAGGCTGACCAAGTCCACACTCCTGCTGATCCCCCTGTTTGGAGTACACTACATCATGTTCGCCTTCTTCCCTGACAATTTTAAGGCTGAAGTGAGACTGGTCTTTGAGCTCATCTTGGGGTCTTTCCAGGTATGGTCTGTTGACTTAAGGCTGTATTCTTCTCTGGACTTTAAGGGAATCCAACCTGGGGCTTGGCCCCTTGCTACTGGACTCCAATATTTTCATTGTAATAAGTATTGATTGGTTAAGTACCTACTTTGTGCTTAGCCCTTTCCTTAACCAGGGGAACTTAGGGGGTGGGGCAGGGCTGGGGGCTCCAGGGGTCTGTCTGCCTCATCTCTCCTGTCCCCTTCCTCCCCAGGGTTTTGTGGTGGCCATCCTCTACTGTTTTCTCAATGGCGAGGTAAGCCCCTTTCAGACTCTGGGGGCCAAGGAACAGAACTCCCAGAACCAGAGCCCAGAAACATTGATGGGACTGATGGGATATGTGCAAAGCAAGGACAGGCTAAACTTTGCTACTCCAAGTACAGTCCTCACACTGGTAGCATTGACGTCACCCAGGACCTTGTTAAAAATGCAGATCTCTGGGACCACCTCGACCTGCTGGCTTAAAACAAGCCCCTCCCACTCCCAGGGGATCCCCGTGCACATCAGAGTTTGAGAACCACCTAGTTAAATGGCTGTGTGCAGAGTGAGTGGAGGGGGCGGGGGCCACGAATGGAGGCTGAGTTTGCTGTGGGGTCCTGGTCACCATGCACGAAACTCCACTTAGACGAGCTCAGTGAGCTGGAGGGCCGGGGTGGGAAGAACTGGGGTGCAGCCAGCCCTAGGCAGCATCCCTCTCCCTCTCTGGGCTTCGCGGGTCCTCTCTACCTCCTCTCACCTCCTTCCACTCCAAGGCCTGGATTTGGCGCTGGCCCCAACCTAGGTCCCAACTCGGCACCTCCCGAAGCAGCGTCTGGGTCGCTCCATCTAGACTTCCCAGGGGATGTGACTGACTAACGGAGGGCAGCCCCATCCGCCACGGAGGAGGCTCCACCCCCGGCCGCGGGCCTGACCGCCCTCCCCTCTCCTAGGTGCAGGCGGAGCTGCGGCGGAAGTGGCGGCGCTGGCACCTGCAGGGCATCCTGGGCTGGAACCCCAAATACCAGCACCCGTCGGGAGGCAGCAACGGCGCCACCTGCAGCACGCAGGTGTCCATGCTGACCCGCGTCAGCCCCGGCGCGCGCCGCTCCTCCAGCTTCCAAGCCGAGGTCTCCCTGGTCTGACCGCCAGGAGCCCGGGGCCCAAAGCGACCCTCCCGCCCGCTCCCACCCACCCCGGCCGGCGCCGGGGACAGAGACCTGCCCGGGCGCGGCCAGCCCCAGCCCTGGGCTCGGAGGCTGCCCTGGCCCCCAGTCACTAGACTGGACACCCCTGGAGAACCTGTCCGGAGCGTCTCTAGCAAGTAGGAGAGGGGGAGCGCCGCCCCTGGAGCTGTGGGGTGGAACTCGGTCATCAGACTTTCCCCAAAGGCGTCCTCCGCTAACCGAGGGCAAAAAAATCTGCACACTTTCATCCCGACTCCGCCTTCTGGTAGCTCTTCTGCCCACTCCAAGGAAAGCAACGGCTCATCCTCAAGGCTGGGGTGCTCTGAGGGCAGAAAGTCCTGCCCCGGAGGACACCACCACCTCACCTCGGCAGTGCCTGAAATTCCAGCGTGGCTGGCAAGTTCCTTTGGGGTAAGCATTGCCATTCAGACATTTCTCTGAAGACGTACTGCTCCCTGTGCCCTCCTCTTAGAAAGTTACCCTTCTGGAAGTTTTGAAGTGGGAAGCACAGCTATTTTTGTGCTCCCCACTGAAGTGGAGTACTCTCGGAGTCAGGTGGCTGGAACAAGGCAACCCAAGGACTGAATTACTCTGGGGCCTCTGGGAAGGGAGGAGACAGTCATCAGCGAATGCTGAGGTCTCAGACTAAGCTTACCTGCTCGCCAAGTCTTGGTGGCTTCATCGGTCAAGTGGGATCAGTCACACCAGCTATTCCCATCCCTCTGGACTGTGGATCCAACAGGAATCAAGAGATGCCCTCCTTGGTTGCCCACCTGTGTGCCAACTGTTGTAGCCAGGCTCAGAGATGTGCACCCATGGGCCCCTTAATCCTGAGATCAACCCAGAAAGGTGGGAATTACTGTCCCCATTTCACAGATCAGGACATTCAGTCTCACAGAGAGCAGGTACCTCACCCTGTCACACAGGACTTGAACTCAGATCTGGCTGATAAGAAAGTGAAGTCACAGACTCTTAGGAATCACCTTTATATGTTGCAACCAGCTGGATCCTCTTAGTTATTTGTGTGTCCACTGGCATTGTTATTGCCATTGTTCCTGAATCCCCATTCCCACCCCAGCCTCCGTGGAGTGTGGCTGAGGAATCCTTCAGCCTGTGGATAACAGCCTGGTGGTTGTGGCATCCTCTGTCTGCCTTTCACCCTAGTGGCCACGCAGCTTTCTATCCACACCTCCGTCAGAAGATCCCCTCAAGACTATAACAGGCTTGTGCAATAATAAATGTTGGCTTGGATTGGCTCGGTTCCCATGTTGGTTGATGTTCTTATAAGACCTAAAATGGGGATCAGCTTCCAACTTGTAGCAATCTCCCCCTACTCCAAGGAGGAATGATCCAAAATATTGCTGACACCAGATGCCACCACCCCTCTAGCTTTCCATAGGAATCGCGTAGTATTTCCATGTGAGAAGCACACAGTTCTGAGGGCCTTCCACTCCCATCTTTTTTAGTGATATCTTGTCTCTTCTGAAAGTGATAAAGTTAGACCAGGAGCCCGTTGTGTGCTCCCACTCCCTAGATCCAGCCAAGAGGAGACCATTCCAGTCTCGGATCAATACAAAACAGCTGACAGAGCTGCCCATGGTCTCAGAAATGATTAAGTGTGAGTTCTTCACAGTCATCCCTGCAGATAAGGAGCAAACAGGGCTCAGCCTAGAGGAGGTAGAAGACAGCACAAATGTCACCAACACAAGTGAGTGAGCAGAGACAATACGACTAATAGGAAGCTGTAGACACAGAAATGGTGTGGCAAAACAGATGATGTCCATCCGCAAGAGTTGTCTCCAAAGCTCTTGCTCAAGCTGATCTCCTCAGGTTCCAACTCCCACAAACTTGCTGGAGGGGCAGGAGAGGAATGCCAAGCTGGTAAAGTAAGAATGGGCTGGCAAAGGCCTGGATCTGCCTGAAGGGCCCCATCAAAGCCTTGTTCTACTCTGTACCATCCCAGGACCTATCATCACATGACAGCTCCAACCCAGCACCCTCAGGGGGCCAGAGTCAGCAGTGATCAAGCCAGGATCAGAATGACTGTGAACCTGGGGCCGGGGAATTCCTGGGAAAATACTCTTTGATCAGTTGTTCAGTATATGCAGGAATGGTGCACTTTCCCCACCTCCCACCTAGATTCACACTCCATGCTCTGCCTTGGGTATGGGCAGCTGTGGGACCCAGAAGGAGGCAGCACACCTAGCTTTGACCTCTGCACTCCCAGGTCTGCTGGAAAGAGCATTTTCAGCACTCTCCTCCCTTCCACCCAGACCAACAGTGGTGACCGCCAGCAAGGTGCTAGTGGTGGAGAGCTGGGCTGGAGTATTGGGGCACTGAAATGTTACATTCTTCCCTGAGCACTTCACATCCCTAACACTCCAAGGCAAAAGGGATGAGATACGGAACAGGCAGTCTGTCCAAGCTCCCCTTATCCAGCTGGGCATGCCACTAACTTACTCTGGTTTCCTTCCTCCTCTCCCTACTCTGTGCCTCCCTGAATTGGTTCTAGAGGTCTTGTCCCTCCCATACCCCTCAGCAGAGTCCAGAAGACCCAGTCTTAGTCTTTTAATCCCAATTAAAAGTCTTCAGACTTTCTCAGTGATCATGAGCAGATCCCTGTCCCTCTCTGACCATCAATTTCTCCACGTTCACAATAGGGGAAGGTGCTAGATGGCTTAGCTCAGCTCCAGGCTAAGGCCCTGGTGGTTAATGAGGAGGGGGCTACCCAGAGCCCTCTGCCACCTGCTTTGTACTTGGGGCTCAGGGGGAGGACAGCATCTGGAGGGGGAGCCCCAAGCTATCTGGGGGGCCCTGAGGAATATGCAGAGGATGGAGGCTATGCAGAGAACAAGATCAGAGAACTTGCAGACTCTTTGAGAGATGAGCTCAGGTTGGGAGAAGAGGGAAGGAGACAGAAGAGAAACAGAAGTGGGCGGAGCCAACAGATGCATAAAAGCAGAGTGTTTGCAGAAGGGGCAACACCCTGCCTTCCTGATCTAAGACCCTTCAGAATATCTGAGCTTTGTGAGGGCCAGCAGGGGCCCCCACATCAAGCTGCACCTGCTCCACCCTCCACAGAGCCTGAAATTCCCCCCACCCCCAGTAGGGTGTCATGGCTTCAGAGTAAAGAAGACAACCCCAGGTAGAGGAGCAGCTATCAGCCAAGAGGGTGGGAAGTGAATAAAGCAGAGAGGCTCAGGATGTGGACAAAAAAAGGGAGAACATAGGTGGAGCTCTGACCAGAGAGGTGGCAGGAGGGGAAAAGTTCAGGGACGGGCATTCAGAGATGCCAGAAGCCGGGAACATCCCAGGCTGGGAACAGCCATGGAGTGACGGTAACCACAAACAGGATTGCTTTTTTTTTTTTTTTTTTTTTGAGTTGGAGTCTCACTCTGTCGCCCAGACTGGAGTGCAGTGGCACACTCCCGGCCACCGGAGCCTTGACCTGCTGGGCTCCGGCGATCCTTCTGCCTCAGCCTTCCAAGAAGCTGGAACTACAGGTGCGCGCTACCACGCCGGATTTCTCCTGGTCTCTGTCTCTTCCAGCTCCCAGATCCCTCTCCTGCCTCCTTGGGCAAATCAGCCCAGGCCAACTCATCTCTATCGCCACCGGGTGGATGCTTCAAGGTCTTCACTAAGGTTGACCTTAGGGCCCAAACACCCAGGTACAGGCCCCTCGCCAGGAGGCCAAGTGACACAGAGGATAGGCCCCTCTCCTGAACTCCATGCAGAGTGACATACAAGAGGGAGGAGGTGGTGAGGCCACAGGACTGGTTCCCAGGGATAGCCTGGAATTAAGGAGAGCCAAGGACTGGATTCAAGACCCAGACCTCTGACCTCTGCTGCACACAAACCCTGCCTCAGACCCAGCTGTGACCCAAGTAGAGCCTGGCTTCTGGTTGCTCAGGCTGGACCCTGGTACTGAGGGCAAAGCCCAGGTCACTCATGTGGGTACCATCAGAGAAGACAAGGAGAGGCCACCATGTGGGCAATTTCTGCCACTCCAGGGCACAGGCTGCCCCCAGAGTGGGGGGGGGGGGGGGCGGCCATTCTGAAGAATGGGTAAGAGACAGCTTCTCAGGTGAGGCAACATTGAGGTGGTCTCTGAGGACTAAGTAGGGGTCTCTGGACCCCAAGGGAACATGATGGGTGACAAGAACACCTACATCCAGGTGTGTGTCAGGGCCCTTTCCAGCAGGAACACAGTGGAGGCTTCCTAAGTGAGGCCAAGAGGATGAGGGTGAGTCTTGGGCAGGCTACTCTGGTTGCTGAGAAAGGTCCAAGAGGCAGACCTGGGAGAAGCTGCCAGGCCATCATCCGGGTTAGGGGGAAGAGCTGGGGAGATGATGACCTGGTGTGGGACATGCTGAAGGTAATAATGTCTGTGCGACATCTGAGGAGAACCCCAAGGATGTTGGAATCAGGACGGAGAGTGACAGGGCCCAGCAGCCAGTAGGGAGACCAGAGCAGCCCCTGTAGGGGAGGGGTGTGCTGGGCATACATATCCCCAGGTACTCTCACCTGGTGAGCTGGACAGGGGTAGGGTGAGGAGTCAGAATCAGTCCCTCCATTCCCACCACTTGCCCAGGTCCCGTTTTAATGAGCAGTGACCCAGCCTTTCCCAATGTGGGAACAGGAACTGCTCTTATCTCTCCCGGGGGAGGGGGGGGGCCAGAACCACAGCTGGCAGTCATTAAACACCCTGATCAGGCCAGGGATGGCCGAGATATTAATAGCCAGGAGTCAATGGCCCTGGAGACACAGTTTTTCAGGAAGAAGGACAGCAACTTCAGAAGGCCATGGGGATGAGGAGGACAGATCAGAAGGTCATCCTGGCAGTACCCCAGCCTCTATGCAGGACAGACGAGGTTACCAAAGTCCAAAGAAGGAAAGGGACTCGCTGGGATAGCTAGTAAAGTCACTGATAGAGCCTGGCATTGAGCCTAGTTCTCCAAACCCCAGAACCCTATCTCCTCCATTACATGGATTGTTGACTTGGGGTGGTGGCTCACACCTATAACCCCAGCACTTTGGGAGGCTGAGGTGGGAGAATTATTTGAGGCCAGAAGTTCAAGACCTGGGCAACATAGTGAGACCCGTCTCTAATTTAAAGTATATATTTAGGACAGGCGCAGTGGCTCACGCTTGTAATCCTAGCACTTTGGGAGGCAGAGGCTAGAGGATTGCCTAAGCCCAGGGGATCAAGATCAGCCTGGGCAACTTGGCAAGACCTCATCTTTACAATAAATCAAAAAATTAGCTGGGAGTGGTGGCACACGCCTGTAGGTCCAGCCACCTGGGAGGCTAAGGTGAAAGGATTGCATAAGCCCAGGAGGTGGAGGCTGCAGTGGCCAAGAGTGTGCCACTGCACTCCAGCCTGGACAACAGTGACTCTGACTCAAATATATGTATATGTGTATGTGTGTGTTGTGTGTGTTGTGTTGTGTGTGTGTGTGTGTGTGTGTATAAAATTTGTGAATTGTCATAGGTGAGACCATTAGGTATTCCCTGTGTGGAAACATATGAAGAGCAGACCTAGTTAGTGACACCAATTCGGTCTTTGTTTAAAATCTTGATATTTGTTCACTGTATAATTTTTTGCATTAATTTTGATTTTTTTTAAATATTACATTAAAATATTATCTTGATTACTGAGTTTTTTTGGTACCCTCTTAAATTATTTTACATCTGAGGCAATTTACATTGCTTGCCTTACCCTAGTCCCAGCCCAGCTCCCAAGGGTCTCAGAGCATCCCTGAGTCCCAGGATGTCAGCATGGAAGAAATTTTGGAGAGCTCTAGACTGACCTCTATGTGGCTCAGAGGGAAAGGATCCTGCTAGGGTGATGCCTACTAGAAGTGGGCAGTGCAAAGGCTGATACAGCAGCTCAACAATGTCATCATAGACCTAAATGTTTTCTATCTGTCCACTCTGCCATTCTCAGGCTGTTGACTTTCATCCTCAGATTTATTCCCTCATGATTGCAAGATGGCTGTCACTGCCCCAAGTATCATGTTCTCACTGGCAGGAAGGAGAATTTCTCCTATGTGCCTCCTTCTATCTGGGAAGATAATCCATCCCAGGACCTACCTTCTGCACACTCCTCAGACCAGGATTAGATTACATAGCTGAATCTCAGCTACAGGAGTAGCCAGGCTTCTATAAGAGAGATTGATCTACTGAGGAAGAATGAGGGGCAGTTGTTGTGTAGGCAACTAACAGTCTGACTCTCAGTCTTTTTTTGGATGCCTCTGGATA